CCCCCCCCCCCTCCCCTGGCCCGGCCCGGCCCAGACTACTCGCACCTCTACCTGATCTTCGGCTTCCACGAGAACACCAACCTCCCTGGGGCTCCGCTCAAGAGCAAGGTCACCCCGCCGCGCTTCGGCCAGAAGGTGGGTGTCTTCGCCACGCGCTCGCCCCACCGGCCCAACCCCCTGGGCCTGAGCCTGGTCACCCTGGACGCCGTGAAGGATGGCGTTCTGCATCTGTCCGGCATCGATCTGATCGACGGGACGCCCATCTACGACATCAAGGGCTACAACCCGGAGTACGTGCCCCTGTCACGCCCGTCCCGTGGCATCTTGCCTGCCCCTTGTCCTCGCGCGATCCCTTGCCTGCCACCATGCATTCCCGGCCCTCTGATCCCCCGCCCCCTTTTCTTCCCTCCCTCCCTCCCTCCCTCTTTCTCGCTCTCTCTCTCTCCACTTTCTCCCCTGCCCAGTGTGGACGCCTTCCCGGACGCCACGCGTCCGGAGTGGATTCCGCCCACCTCATCCACGGACTTCTCCTCGGTGGAGTTCACCGAGGAGGCCTTGGCCTCGCTGGAACACCTGTGCCGGCGGAATACCTTCCAGTTTTACCCCACCTTCCAGGAGGCCCATGACTTCCTGGTGCAGGCGCTCAGCTTCGACATCCGGTCCATCCATCGGCGCTCGCTGGCCGCCTCGCAGGCTGACGCGGCGCCGCTCGAGCACGCGGTCCAGTTTGACCGTGTCGTGGTCACCTACACCACGGAGGCCACCACGGTCCCGGGCCGCGGGCCGTCCGACAGCGAGGAGGATGTCGAGCCGCTTGTGCGCATCATCCGCATTGAGAAGAACCCGCGCTACTTCGGGGCCAATGAGTAGTGGAGGTAGCTCGCCCTCGCCTCGTTCCCGCGCTCTCCTCGGCGGGGGGAAAATGGAGCTGCCTGTGTCCCCGTGTGCTTTTCTTTCCTCCCCCCTCTGTCTCTCTCCCTCTTTCGCTCTCTTTCCTGCTCGTTTGCTTCCTGTCTCCGGCTGTGGATTGAATGCGCGCACGCGTCAGCGAGAGTGTGAACAAATCCGACGAGCTGGCTGCCATGATCTCGGGCGGCAGGGCCCGGCGGCGGGCGCGTGTCCCGCGCAAATGCGACGTTGGCACTTGGGGTGCCCACGCATGGGACATTCCCGCCCCCGAGGCCCGGCTGGCGGGGGAAGACCGGGCGCTTTCGCCCGGGGCAGCCCAAAGCGAGGAAGGGGGGCTGCAACGGAGGCGCTTCGTGCGCGCCAGGTTTGGGCGGGGGGGGGGGGGGGGGGGGGGGGGGCCTGCATCAATTCCATGGAATGCCCCACCCGGGGGGCCGAGAGACATGCGCTGCCCAGCCGGGCTGACGCGCGCAGCAGTGCGAGATCCTGGCGCGGCGGGGGGACACGAGATTGGAAAGCAGCGGAGCGGCGTGTCGGCCGGGCCCCGGTCGCGCGCATATGCACCGGTTCCGGCGCCGGCGCCGGCGCCAGCGCCGGTGCCACGCCCAGGCATGCCGCGCAGAACCCCGGGGAAAAGGGACGACAAAAGACGCCCCACCCAGCTGCCCGGGGACGCGCTTTGATCGAGGATGTGGGCGGAGGCGCGTGGGGCCTGTGGGGCTGACACGGGCCGGGGGGACCCGGCGCGAGGAGCTTCCGTTTTTATTTCCCGCCCCCAGAACGGGCCCGCCCTCGCCACGGCCACCCAAGCAGCGAGAGGCCCGGGCAGTGGGGCCCGGGCGCTGTGGCGAGCCAGGACGGCTCGCTGCCGGTCCTCTGAAACAGGGTTGGGGTGTCCCGCCCCCGCCCCCCCCCGCCCGTTGGACCCGGAGAATACCAGCCCCCGATGGTGGGCGTGCGCTCCCTACGCTTTGGGCGTTATTCCGATGTTGTGGAGCTCTTTCATGCGCGAGTGATGGCCTCCACGGTGCGCACAGGACGGCGAGACCCGAGCGGGGCCCGTGAGGCGCCCCGAGGCACCTCGCCGCTTCGGGACCAAGCCGGGAGAATACTCTTGCCGCACCGGCCCGGGGCTGGTGCCCCCTCAGCGCCTGGCCTCTCTGAGTGGGCCCCACTTTCACACCTTCACCTTTTTCCCCCGCCCTCCTCCCCCCTCTCTCTCTCTCTCTCTCTCCCCACTCGCCCGGCTGTCTCCTGGCTTCCTCGCCCCTCGCCCCTCGCCGATCGTGCTCCAGAGGTCGCCCCTTCCTCCCACTCTACCGCACCCATCACTGGCCGCGGCCGAAGCCATGGTGTATGTCCCTCCCCGTGTCACCCCGCCCCCTGTCCCCTGCCCTCCCCCCCCCGGCCGGCCGGCCGGCTGCTCCTCACCACCAGTTGCTGACCTCCCGCCCATGTAGCGCCAATACCGCCCTGCCTGACGGCGCGCCGCTGGTGCCGGCCCCCTCGAGCGCCGCTTCGATGACCCTCCTGTCGAAGGCCGTCTCCTCGGCCGGCGCCGCCCCGCCGGTCGGCCGGCAGCATGCCACCACCGAGACCTTCGAGGCGTCTCTCCTCCGGTGGGTGGAGATCTGCCACCAGTCCGGCGATCCGAAGGACCACCAGGGGATCCTGTCTTTCCTGGCCGGTATCGTTCCCCAAACCCTGGTGTCTCGGGCGTTGGACTTCCTCCCGGCCGGCGGCCCGGCCGACTCGTACATCATCATGCAGGCCGCCTCCGGCGAGTATTCTCCCGCCAAGCGCGTGACGGCCGACCTGCTGGTGCGCCACGCGGCGTTCTCCTCTTTTATTCCTCCCTCCCCCTCCCCCTTCCCCCCCCCCCTCCCGCATTCCGACCTCTCCTTCTTTCATTTCACCTTTTTTCTTTTCCTCGCCGACTTCCGCTCACCCGGCTTGATGTCCTTTCGCTTGTGCACTGTTCCTCCCCTGGCATGTGGGTCCAAACGAAAATCGCCCCCAGGGCGAGCGTCAGCTGGCCGCTGTCATCGCCCTCTTCCGCCTGTCGGTGCTGTCGCTGCCGGCCCCGATCATCTCCCCGGATGAGCCCATTGCCCTGGGCCTGACGGCCCTTTCCTCGCCGGACCTCTTCCCCAATGGCCAGTGTGCGCAGTGTGACCTCGCCTCGCCTCGCCTCGCCTGGCCCCGCCTCTGCATCCGGTCTTTCTGGGTATCCTCTGCCACCGCATCTGCTTTGCTCACTCTTTGTGTTTCTCCCGTCCATTCCCCTCCTCCCTCCCTCCCTCTCGCTCATACACGCACGCTGCCCTGGCCAGTCGACCGCAAGGTGATTGCTCGCCTTGTCGAGGTTATGCTCGAGACGGCCGATGCTCTGCCCACGCGCAGTCCCAGCCGTGCCTTCCTGATGGACCGCCTGCTCCGGCGCATTTCCTCTCTGGAGTCTCTCGCTCCGGCGGCCAGCCCAGGCAGCTATGGTACGCAGCCCTGTCGCTCCTCCCCCCCCCCCCCCCCCCTCACACACACACACACACACACACACACACACGCACATTTCCCCCCTCGGGGAGCCCTCCTCTCCTACTCGGCAACATCCTTACTGACCTACTGGCCGGCCCTCCACCAGCCCTGAAGGACCCGAACTGCTGCGCTCTCCTGGAAGGCATTCTCGGTGCCTTCAGCTGTGGGCCCTCGCACATTGTTCCCCTGCCGGCCTTCACCTCCTTCCTGTCGCATGTGTCGCAACTGGTGTCGGGCTTGGAGCAGGGGGTCATGCTGGACACGGCCAGTCGCCTGGAGCAGGAACCCTCCGCTGATGGCACTCTACTCGATGAGAGTGATCACCAGCAGGCGTGCGCCGCTGCTGCCGCCGCCGCTGCGCGCCCCTTCACCGACATCATCCATCGTGTGTGCGTATCGCCGGCTTGCCGTCACGAACAGTGCATTGCTCCCCCCTTCCTCCCCGGGGCCAGCCAACTCCGCTGCAGGGGGCTCCTGATACTTACCCGGCCGCCGCTCCCGCTTCCGCCCCTACATACACACACACACACACACACACTTGCTGGAAACCCGTACGCGCTCCTCCCACGGCCCAGTGTCGTGCACTACCTCCAGGGCCGCGTGGCCACGTGCCCGACACCAGTTCTGGCCAGCTCGCTGGCCGAGTGCGAGTCCTCGTCCACCGCCTCGGTGGCTACCCTGTCCTCGCCGTCGGTGGCCGAGGGCCCGCTGGCGGTCGGCGGCGGAAGTGAGGACACCCCGGCCGGCGATCATGATGCCGTGCTGCTGGACTTCGTCACCAACGAACTGGACTTCTGCCTGCTTCGGGCCAATGAGATCGTCGGCCTGGCCGATGAGTCCCTCGCTGGTGAGGTGGCCTTCCTCTATCGGACTCTGTCCTCATCGCTGGTGCGTTGCGCGCGCGCGTTCCATTTGGCCTTCCGCCAGCGGGAAAGACACGCGCGGCCTGCCTTCTTCGTGCCCCTCGCATGTCCCCCGGCTGCACGCCCGGGCCATGGCCCCAGTCTGACCCAAGCACCATGTTTGCGCCCGTCATCCAGACCTCCCTGTCTCTGCTGGCCATGCTGCGCGATGACATCGTCAGCCCGGACGACTGCATCGGCTACTGCACGTCCATCCTCCAGGGGATGGTCCCGTCTGGCACTGTGGCCGGCCTCGGCCCGCAGGTGTTCGCCACGCGTGCCTGCTCCTCGGCCCTCTTCCTGCTGGCCACCAAGTGCGTCGGTGTCCCGCCTGCGACCGAGGATCCCTCTTGCGATGGGCCCCATCGCCGGAGCGAGAATGTCCCAGCTGTCGTTCCCCCCCCCCCCCCTCCTTCTCAGTTTTGCCTCCTTCTCGCTGCTTCGCCTTTCGGCACTGACATGCCATCGCGCCCCATCATCGCACCCTGCCTGCCATACCCCGCGCAGGTACCCCGAACATGGTGACACCATCCTGAAGATCCTGGAGTCGGCCCTCTTCGATCCATTGCCGCTCTTTGCCATGTTGACACCGGAGAGCGAGCTCTACCGGCTCCTGGCCACCACGCTGGTCGGGGACTTTGTGCAGGTTCTCCTGTTGTCGTGTGCCACCGGCCCCCGGCCGGGCCCGGCGCGCGGTGCCTCGGCCACCGGGGCCACCTCCGCCAGTGGCCTTCCCCTGTCGATGTCCAGCTACTCGGTGTCGTCCATCCCGCTGGCCGGGCTGGCCTTGAACAGCAGTGCGGCGGCCACCGGCGCCGGCGCCGCCGCCGCCGGGCTCACGGACACCGAGCTCCGCCTGCGGGACATGATTACCTCCATCTCGAGTGCCATGTTCGGCACGAGCCGCGCCACGGCGCCGGATGCCCTGGCCACCGGGCCCTCGGATACCCTGCTGCACCACCTGTCCGAGCTGAATGCCATCCGGGCGCTGGGCGCCCTGGCGCTGGCCATCCCCAGCATGCCGCTTCTGGTGCACCACATCATGGTGTCGCTGCAGCAGCACTTCAACTCGTCGTCGGCCCTGCCGCACTCGCTGCTGGAGCGGGGCATCCCCTCGGACTCGGTGTATTCCAGCATTTCGCGCGAGCTGTCCCGCATGGCGGTCTTGGTGGGGGCCGAGCAGCCGGTCGCCGGGACCGGGGTCACCATCCGTCACCAGGTGGTGGCCTTCTTTGCCGGGCTCCTGTCTGAGGACACCGACCCCAGCGTGGACAAGGTCCGTCGGGCGGTGGTCGTCGACGCGGTGGCCTACATGACCCGCTTGTCCGGGCGTCTGGCCTACCTGCAGCGGTGCGAGACGCGCGCCGCCCTGCTTGTGGCCCTGCTCCGGGTGTTCATCGAGCGGGGCATTCGCGCCACGCAGGCCACCCTGCGCAATGACTCCGAGACCCTGGCCAAGCTGGCGGCCATCGTGCGCCTGATGGGATCCATCGTCCAGGCGGACTTCCGCTGCCCGGCCACCGGGGCCGTGGTCCCGTATACCATTCTCCAGCCGGCCGGCACCAGCGAAGGCGCCAGCACCACCACCGCCTCCGCCATGGGCGGTGGTTCCCCCTCGCCGGTGGGCGATGGGGTGGAGCTGCTCTTCCGGCAGTTCTGGTTCCTGGCCACGCAACTTGGCTTCACGGCTCGGCTTCCCTCGGATTCGGCCCTTCGGTCGGCATTCGTGTATGTGGCCCATGCCACCCCGGCGCTCTTCCGCGCGGGCGGCCTGCAGGCCTTTGATGCCGGGCTGCAGGCCGACCCGTCGCTGGTCCGCTTCTCCTGGCCGGCCGTCAAGCCGGAGGTCCGCGGCTTGCTGGTGAACTACCTGCCGGTGGGCGATCTCCGTGCTCTGGGCCATGTGCAACAGTTGTTCATCTACACCGTGGCCCTGGTGGAGCGCCTGCGGCCGGTGCTCAGTGTCCGGGCATTGCTGGGGCTGGCGGCGGCGGCCCCGCGCTTTGCCGCCCCTCTGGACACCACGCTGGACCGGCTGTCGGAGGCCCTTTTCGCCCGGGCCCTGGGCCAGGCCCGGCGCCTGCGCACCCCGGACACGGTGCTGGCCGGCGAGGCGCAGCGCCTGCTGGCGGCCAGTGTCGACCTCGATCCGTTGATGGCCGTCGCGGCCCGGCGCTTCCTGGATCAGATCCTCCTGCTGAATACGCATCTGCATGCCAATTCCCTGCTCATTGACACCCTTGGTGCCTTGATCCTGGCCACCTATCGGGCCAGTCAGCTGTCCATTTCCGGGTCCATGGCCGGGCTGCTGGTGCCGGCGGCCGTGCCCGGGGCCGGCAGCCTCCTGCGCGTGGCCCTGTCCACCAATCCGGTGGAATTGGCCCGCACGGGGGACTACCTGCGCGGGGACCTGGCCACCCGGTGGCTCGGGCGCCTGTACACCGAATCGCCCGAGGCCTTCCGGGCCCTGTTTGTGGCGTACGCCAACAAGTCCTCCCCGAGCTCGGTGCGTCTGCTGACCGGGCCGGACTTTGCCGGGCTCGAGGCCGTGGTGGTTCCCTGGTTCGATGTGCCGGGCCCGGAGTATGCCGTTCGCATGGCCACGCACTTTGCGGCCTTGGACCAGCGCCAGTTGGTTCCGGAGCCGGATGACCTGGCCTCCATGGCCCTGTGTCACAATGCACTGGCGGCGTCCCGCCTGACGCGACTCCTCTGCGAGCAAAGCACCTACGCCGGGGAGCTCCGCTCCAAGCTGATCTCCGGCTCGGTGGGTGCTCTGCCAGCCTCGGCGGACATCAGCTCGGCCACGCTGGCCGGGGAGCCGGGGACCGGGGCCCCGCCCGCTGCCCGGCGTCTCACGCGCTCCCTGCTTGCCAGCCTGCGCCTGCTGGTGGCCCAGCTGGAGCAGTCGGCCCCGTGCGATGTCATCAGCCCGGGCGCCGCTCTGGCCGATCGGTCGGCCATCAGCCAGGATCCCGGCATGGCCGGTCTGGTCAGCCCGGCCGGCATTCGCAGCATCATCCTCCGGGCCGCGGCGTACCTGGTCCTGTCCGGCACCGGGGCCGGGGAGGCCTTGGCCCATGCGCCGGGGGATGCGGCCGCGGCTTTGGCCGCCGCGGCGGCCAGCCCGCGCCCCACGTCGGCCGCCGCCAGCGAGTCGGCCATTCCCTTTGACCTGTCGGGCGAGGCCATTTCCATCCTGCGCATCCTCGGTCGCCTGCCCTTCATCTCCGGCCGGGCGGACCTGGCGGCCCACGTGGCCGAGGCCTGTGTCGATGCCTGGTGGTGGTTGATTGTCTCGCGCCCGGAGCTTGAGACGGCCCTGCTGAGCAACATCGTGCTGGGCTGGTCGCAGGCGGTTCGCGCGCGGACCGGGCTCTTTGCCACGGCGGCCCTGGTGGACCCGGTGTACGGGAAGATCGATTACCAACCGCCGGGGGAGTATCAGCCGGTGCAGCCGCACCTGCTGGCCACCGCCAGTCAGACGGCCGTCCTGCGCTTCCTCCTGTCATACACCTCCTCGCGCATGCACAAGTCCCCGGTCCATGCGGAGCTGCTGATGCACTTCCTCCGGGAGACCTTCAATGCCACGCTCTCCACCCTGCCCGAGGCCCGCCTGGGCCGGTTCCTGGCCGCGCACATTGCCCTGTCGCTCATCGGGTCCGGCATCTTTTACGGCCAGCCGGCCGAGGTGCGCGTCCTGCATCTGAGCGTGGTGCATAGCCTGCTGACGTGGTTCGCCGGTCGGCCGTGCTGGTCTCCGGGGCACATCGGCCGCCAGCTCCAGGAGCTGGCCACCATGGCCGAGGTCTTGCGGCTGCTGACGGCCCTGCCGCCGGCGACCAGCCCCACTGCCGGGACGGTGGCCGCCGCGCTGGCCCGGTATGCCGGCGAGGAGCCACACCGCCTGCTCATGCACTTGGTGGCTCTCGAGATTGATCGCCTGCTTATTTGGCTGTCGGCCGGGAGCTATCCGGCCCCGGCCAGCGGGGGGCTTCTGCGGTCGGGGACCGGCTCCGGTGCCAGCACCAGTGCCAGCACTCCGGTCGGCACGGACTTCTCCACCCTGCCAATGGGCGAGGGGTCGCTCGGTGCATTGGTCGATGAGGATGATGCGACAGCCGACATGATGGGACCTGGCGCCGGTGTGACCGGCACCGGCATCCCCGCCCAGCTGCCGAGCCTGGCCTCGGCGGCGGCCCTGTCCGATGTGCCGGCCCTCTCTGCCCCGGGCTGGCACCAGGCCTTGGGCAATTCCCGGGTCGTCGGGGTGATGGAGGCCGTGCGGGCGGTCCTCGGCGCGGCCTTCCCCGCCCGGCATACCCTCACCAATCGCGAGTATTGGCGGGCGGCCACCGACATCGCCTGGAGCCTGGACCCGGGGCTGGCCTTGCGCCTGGTCGAGCGTGTTCCCCCGGCCGGGGAGGTCATTTCCCCGGCGCTGGAACGCCTGGTGGCCGCCGATCCGATCGAGGCCCAGCACTACCCGGCTGCCGTGTGGTATTTGCTGACGCCGGAGAATTTGGAGCGCTCGGTGCCGGCCCTGCGGTTTTTGCCCTCATGGGCGGCGGTGCCGCCGATGTCGGCCCTGGCCCTCTTCCTGCCGAAGTACCGTGCTCACCCGCTGGTCTTGCAGTATGCGGTGCGCGTGTTGGATGAGACCCCGGCCGCGCATATGCTCTTCTACACCCCGCAAATTGTCCAGGCCCTGCGGTATGACCAGAGCGGGCACATTGCCAACTACATTCGGAGCATCGCGCGCGACCCGCGCGGCCAGCTGCTGGCCCATCAGTTCATCTGGAACATGAAGGCCAACATGTACATCGATGCCGAGGGCGAGCAGCCGGACGCCCTGAAGCCGGTGCTGGATGAGCTCCTGCAGCAGGTGGTGTCCTCCTTCAGCCGCGAGGACTCGGCCTACTATGAGCGCGAGTTCTCCTTCTTCGCCCAGGTGACCGGCATTTCCGGGTCCCTGCGGCCGTACATCCGCAAGTCCAAGCGCGAAAAGAAGGCCAAGATCGACGAGGAACTTGGCAAGATCCTCGACGTGCCGGCCGGGGCCTATCTCCCCTCCACCCCGGAGAGCAAGGTCCTGGGCATCGACTACACCAGCGGCCGGCCGCTGCAGTCCCACGCCAAGGCCCCCTTCATGGCCACCTTCCGCGTGGAGAAGCCCGGGGCCACTGGCTCGGCTTCGGCCAATGGCGAGTCCGTCTGGCAGTCGGTCATCTTCAAGGTGGGTGATGACTGCCGGCAGGATGTGCTGGCCCTGCAGATGATTGCCCTCTTCCAGCGGGTCTTCTCCCAGGTGGGCTTGGACATGTACACCTACCCGTACCGGGTGGTGGCCACCGACGCCGGGTGCGGTGTCATCGAGGTCGTGCCGAACACCATCTCCCGTGACATGCTCGGCCGGGAGAATGTCAACTCCCTGATGACGTACTTCCTGAATGCCTTCGGCCCGGAGCATGGCCAAGCCTTCCAAAAGGCCCGGGCCAACTTCGCCCGGTCCATGGCCGCCTACTCGGTGATTGTGTACCTGCTGACGCTGCGTGACCGGCACAATGGCAACATCATGCTGGACTCGGCTGGGCACATCATTCACATTGACTTCGGTTTCGTGCTCGGCATCTCCCCGGGCGGTGTGGTCTTCAATGACATCCTCAAGAGCGGCTTCGAGACCAGTCCCTTCCTGCTGAAGCGCGAGATGATCGAGGTCCTCGGTGGGGTTGACAGCCCGACGTACCTGTGGTTCACGGAGCTCGTGGTCCAGGGCTACCTGGCCCTGCGCCCGTACATGCAGGAGGTCATCCACCTGGTGCGCCTGATGCAGGGGTCCAACCTGCCGTGCTTCCCGCACGGTGGCGACGAGGTGTTCAAGCGCCTGCGGTACCGCTTCCAGCCGGAGCTCTCCGAGCGCGGCGCCGCCCAGTTCATGCGCATGTGCATCGCCAAGTCCATCGAGAATTATCGCACCACCGCGTACGATATGTTCCAGAAGCTGCAGAATGGTATCCCCTACTGAGGTCCTCCTGTGGAGGAGCGGGTGACCGGGGGGGGGGGGGGGGGGGGAGGGGGGGCCCCCCCCCCCTCCGCCGGCCGTCAGTAAATTTTTCTCCCTTTTTTTGGTATCACGAGGGGTTGGATATGCCGCCCCCCCCCCCCCCTCAAACTGTTCTCTCGCCTTCCCATCATTCTCTTTCTCCTAGTTGTATGAAGACCAAATAGATGTCTTTTCCGGGGCTTTTGCCCACCAGGTGGTGCTGTTGGATGGTGACTTGCCTGTGGGTGTGCGGGTGTGCGGGTGTGTGGGTGGGTGTGCCCTCGCCTCACACGAGGGCACAGAAAACAAGGGCACGTACAATCCGGACGCGTAAGCGGATTTGCCCGCTAGTAACCCTCGTATGTAGATGTGTCTATTATTATAATTATTTTTTCCATGCACAAGGGTGGATCGCGCGCATGCATTCAAAGGGAAGTATATTTCCACGGAATGCTCTATATCTCCGACACAGGGATCCCCCTGCTAAGGCAGAGGCGCCCTGGTCAAGAGCGTTCACATGGGGAAGGGGGGGGGGGGGCAGCGGAAACGGCAAGAAATGAAAACAAGGGCGGCTAGAGGGACGGAACGGCGAAAGGGCGGGGGGGGGGAGGACAAATGTGACGGGAAACCCGCTGGTCCCCCTTTTTTTTTCCCTCAAGAAGAGAAGATGCGGCAGAGGCGCAGATGTCGCTCAAGAGCCGACACGCTTCCCTCATCCAACACCACAAGGCAGTGCGAGCTGTCAACCGGGAAGGATGCCCCGACGGAGCGCCGCCGGGGGTCGCCCACGCGTCGGTCGCCCTCCAGCTGGTAGGTTGATCCGCCGCTGCGGTCGTCCTCCAGGAAGGGGAAGCGCAGCAGGGCGGCCGGGGCAAAGCGCCCCACCCGGGGAGCGGCCCCCAATTGGGCCAGAAATTCGGCATCACGCGCGCTCAAAGCCGGCGGCGGCTGGCGGGTCTGGATGTGCAAAACCCCGAGAGCCGAGTCACTCAGGCGCAGGGCGATCGACGGGGACGGCTCATTTGGCTGGGCAAGTGGCTGACCGGCTGAAGCCTGCGGGTCGAGCGCCGAAAGGACCATGGCCACCTGCGAGGCGATTGTGGGATTCTGATGCGAGAGCAGTGCGCGGACAAGCTGCAGTCATGGGGTTAGCAAGCCAGCGATTGAAATCCACGAGGAGATAGCAGACGCAGGGACGGTGGAGAAGCCCAGCAACAGGGGGCCCCAGGAGGAGGGGGCTGACGTACGCCAAACTTCCCCGGGAAGTCATGCGAGAACCAGGCCAACAGTGGCGATACATCCAGACGAACGGGCTTCTTGTCCAGCACGAAGAGGCACAGGTCTTGCGCCGCATGCCGAGCTGCATGATCCAGGATCCCCTGGATGGAGCCGAGCACACGCGAGTCCCGGCGAATGCCCTGAGCCAGGGCCACCTCCGCATCGCCCAGCGGCTCGGCTGGCAGGAGGGTCGGCAGCCGGGCCGGCTCGGTAGCCGGACAATCTAGGACCCACGAGTGGCGCGAGCCACAGGCCATGCCGGCGGCCAGGAACCAGGTGGCCCGGGGATCGAAGGAGGCCAGCTCACGCGCCAGCTCCGAAGATGAGCGCGACTGGGCGAAATTGGGCCGCAGTCCGGTGGACCGGGGAGGGATCAGCGGCGCGAGGGCCCGATTACGCGGGTCCGCACGCTCGAAGGGCCGCGGTGACACCCCCAGCAGCGGGCACTCGCGTTGCAGCTGCCCCGATGCCGGGAGAACCCCTGCCGGGGCATTGGTCCGCAGCAGGAGCAGCAGGTCGGCCTGGCTGAGCAGGTGTCCCCCGATGTCATACATGACTGACCGGCGGGAGAGAGGAAATCCCCATTGAACAGGTGAGTGCAAAGGAGAAGAGGAGCCACCAGCGGGGGGAGGGGGGCGAGAGAGAGAGAGAGAGAGAGAGAGAGAGACAGAGAGAGACAGAGAGAGAGAGAGAGACAGAGAGAGAGAGAGAGAGAGAGAGAGAGAGAGGGGGGGGGAGGGAGAGAGGGACATGGAAACGCACTGTTTTGGAAGTAATACCGCTGGGAGGAGGGCTCCCCGGGCGACGCCTTGCCCGGGGGCGCCTGGCCAAAGGACAGCAAGCTGCCCAGTGAAGACAACAGACCGCCGGAATTGCCCGGCGCCGGAGCCGGCGCCGGAGACACCACTCCGGCCGATATGGCCTCCAGCTGCGGGTCATAGACTGCCGCATCCCTGGACAGACTCAGCACGAGTCCCGCGTGCAGGGACATCGCCGAGTAGACATTGCTCAGGAAAGCCTGCTTCAGGGCATTGTCAGCGGCCAGCACACTGAACACCGTGTCCAGCGAGGCCGTGCCAATGGTGTTGAACCCATCCACCAGGCCATTCAGGCAGAGGCGATCCACCGGCAGGCGTTGGAGTTGAGCCGCCAAATACTCCAGAGCACGGAGGGCCCGGTGTGCCGCGGCCACGGCCGCCGTACTGGGTGCCATGCTTGGGGCCGGGGCGTCCGGCTGGGGCTCCAGCCCGGGCAGGGTCCGTGCCACGAGGGCATACCGCCAGGCGGTCTGGGCCGCACGCAGCAGCCCAGCCGAGAAGCGCACCATGACCAACCCCAATGTCCGGGGATCGTGCTGCCGAAGGTACTCCTCTCCGGGGGAGCGGGTGGCCGGATTGAGAGGGTCCGGCCCGGGAGCCGGGCCAGGGGCCACGCCAGCCGCCACTTCTCGGCTGTCAAAGCACAGGCGATTGTTCAACACCAGCGGACCATCCAGCGGCGTGGAGCTCAGCAACCGCGGCACGGGCGGCAGGGAGTTGGCCCAACGGTCCCGCCGACCGGACACCTCGGACGTGTGGAAGACCACCTCGCAGCAGGTGACCGACTCCGGGGCCAAGTCGCTGCTGGGGCCATCGGTGAAGGCCGGCGTGGCGTCCAGGCCGCCCAGCACCGGCAGCGCGCACAGAGGCAGGCGCCCGGCCAAACAATGCGCCAGGGCCGCCGACCAGATGGAATGCATCCAGGACACCAGCAAGAAGAGATCCCGGTCCAGGAGGTGCACCGTGCGCAGGTGACGCACCGGCGTGGTCCGATGGTGACCGAGCGCCAGGCACCCCAGCTCGGCTGGTCCCCCGGCAAAGTATGTGATGGCCAGGACATGAGAATCCGGCGGCGGGGTGAAGCGACTGGCCAGCCCATCAGGTAGCGAGGGGCTGCTGGGGATCGGCCCGCCGGTGTGTGACCAGCTAGGGGTGAGGTCGGGCTGTGACACGGCACTGGAGAGGATGCGCATCGAGTGGATCGCGCGGAGATCGATGCGAACATTGGGCGGGACATGCTTTTGGAGGACGAGTGTTGTCAGCCCAAAGAAATAGGGAGCAGGCGGGAGGGGAGTGAGGAGGAGGGGGAGAAGGAAGAGAGAGGTGAGGGAGAGAGAGAGAGAGAGAGAGAGAGGAAGAAAGAGAGGGAGAGAGAGAGAGAGAGGAAGAAAGAGAGGAAGAGAGAGAGGAAGAAAGAGAGGAAGAGAGAGAGGAAGAGAGAGAGAGAGAGGAAGAAAGAAGGAAAGGCTGGGAGGAAGGACCAGGAGGAAAGCACGAAGGCCAGGGAGCAAAGAGAAGAACAGCGGAGAAGGCCGCGTACCTGTGGGCCACTTTGGAGGATGGAGAGGCGCGGCAGCGACGTAGCAGAAGGCCGGCCAGAGACCGGCTGAATGCCCCGGTGATCACGGAACCAGAGATTCAGAGTGCCGGGGTACATGTCCGAGGCGATCTGCATACGGATGTCGGTCCACACGCGCGGCGAGAAGGAGGCCATCTGCAGAACACCATCATGCACATGCCGCAGGAGGACCGCCCCATCGGCAGGCTGCTTCGGCAGGGCGGCCCAGTACCGCGCTGACAGGTGATAAGTGTGGCCATCAAGAAGGGTGGACACTGGCCGGCAGAGGTTCGCATCAATGCAATCGGCCAACGATCCCGTTGGCACGTGGAAGCGCACGGCCACCATGCGATCGGCGGAGGAGGACCCACCCGATGAGGAGGAGGAGGAGGAGGAGGGGGAAGAGTCGCGCGTGAAGTCGCACGCCAAGCCAACCGACAAGGCCGCCCGGCCGATGTCATCGACGCCATGCACACCGACCACCTCGCCGACCGAGCGCCGGGCCTCCGCACTGGGCCCAAGGCTCGTGGACTCCCGTCGCGAGGGCCCCCCTTCCGGTGAGGCACGTCCAGATGCCGGGATCGACATGATCCCCATGGCCGGCATGAAATTCGGCGCCTCCAACTCCTGTGGGTCGGAAGCGTAGCTGCCATTGACGCGGACAGGCTTCTCGCTGCCTGGAAGGGGCGTTGCCTCGCCGTTGGAGGTCGAGTCTGCCATGCGAAGCGGACCGACACCTTCCAACAGGGGGTCTGAATTGAGAGCCACTGGCATGGGCGATCCCGAGGAGGAGGAGGAGGAGGACATCTCGGTCGCTGGGCTGCCAGACAAAGCAGTGGGACAAATGCTGCCGATGGCCGCCACCGGGACAAAGAGCTCTGATACGCCATCCGCCGCGAAGGAGCTGAACAGCGTGCGTGCTGGCAGGGGATTGGCCAGGAGCACGGACCCCGATGGAGCCAGGTATGTCATCGGCGCGGCCAGAGTGGAGTTGGTCGGCTCCAAGTCCATCGACCGTGGCCGGAGGAATCGCCAAAGCGCCCGTGCCGCGGCTGGCGAGTCGCGGATGTTTGGATCAGACATGGCGGCTGTGTGCATTTTTTTTTCAGATGAGTCGAGCGCAGGAGAGGGAGAAGGGGAAGGAGAAGGGGAAGGGGAAGGAGAAGGGGAAGGGGAAGGAGAAGGGGAGGAGGGTCAGTCTGGGGAAGGCGACAGAGGGACCACCCCATGGGCAGGGGGAACCGAAGAGAGAGAGGGGGGGGGGAAGAGAGAGAGAGAGAGAGAGAGAGAGAGGGAGGGAGGGAGGGAAGATAGACAAGGACGTACCGACCAGGAAGCGCTCGAGGATGATCTGCAGCTCGCATGCCTCGCGATCATGTGCCAGTCCCGGGAGGGCGGTGTCATCCGAGAGCAGGCGCTGGCCAGACCGAGCTGGAAGCGTGCCCGTGGACCGGCCATCACCGGACGCCGGCTGGGCCGAAGTGGTTGTGTGTAGTGACATGGCATTTTGCAGGAGGTCCAGCTCCGAAGTGGCCGGGGCAATGGCCGTGCTCGACCGAGGGAGGGCCGAGTCAGGAACCGGCGGCTCGGGGCCGGTGTCGCCGGCTGCCAATGCGACCGGTGACACCGGGGCCGTCTCATCACCGGAAGTGTCGGCGATGGCCTCCGGCGCGCCGGGGGCATCGTCGACCCAGCCGCCAGTGCGATGCTGGCTGAAGCTCCCCTGGCGAGCACCAGACTGCACAAGACCACTCAACCGGTCCAGGTCCAAATGCACAAGCCAGGGATGGCGGAGGAGGGCATCGGCGCCCACACCGCCGCGCGTGCCCTCCGTGGAGCTGTCGCCCTCGGAGCCGGGCGGCTCGCTGGTCGAGTCGGGCCCGGCCTCAGTGCGCGGGGTCTTGGCGAAGGCCGCCGCGGCAAAGGCACTGATGTGCCCGGCCAGACGAGACCCAGCCGGGGCGATGGTGGCCGAGGAGGCCGCATACCAGGAAGCCGGCGGTGGGATGACCGGCGCCTCGGCACTCGAAACCGGGGCCCGGGTCCGGCCCAGACGCACCAGGGCATCCGGGTAGGCCAGGGTACGGAGCTGTCGGGAGAGGACCAGGAAGTCGGTCATGCTGCGCTCGACGGCCCACCGCCGGGGGAGCCCCGTCAGGCCGTTGGAGACGCTCTTTGAGGAAAAGTGGGCCGCATGCTCGGAAGCCGTGGCAAGACCGGGCCGGAGACCGCCCGGGATGCTGGTCGGGATTGACAGCGGGAGGTGGACTTGCAGCACATACGTGCGCAGGTGAGGCCGACTCCGGCTGTTGAGCATGCGCTTGAGGTGCTCGCCTCGAGGCAGGGATGACAGCGCCAGGCGCACGTCGTTGGCGGCCAACAGCGGCAGGAGCCCGGCATTGTCCTGCAGGGAGTAGGCTGGCTCAGGGCCGGTGGCGGTGGCACCGGCGGCAAGGAGTGCGGCTGTGATGCCTCCGGCGCCGGGGTCTATCGTGGAAGCACCAGCAGTCGGAGCATTGGCCGGGTCAAGCATACCACCGGCATCGGGCACGGTGGGCGCAGCCAAGATCACCTCATCGACTCGGGCATTGGAGCAAACTGCCGCAGCGGTAGGCGGAACTGCAGCCGACGCAGGGGGAGGGGGTTCCGAATCCGGCGCCGACCCGTGCAGGGGGGTTGACCGCGGCGAGGGGGATGCCTGCAGGGAGGCGCTCCTTTCGGTGGGACAAGCAACATCCATGACCGCTGAGGGGGGACCTTCTGGACAGTGTGCCGCAGCGGGCTCCGTCGTCGGGATTGTCTTGGAGGCAGTCTCGGTGGCAGCCGGCTGGCCAGGCAGGGATACCGGGTTCACCACCGAGGATAGGGCCACCACCGAGGACAGGGCCACCAGGGCGAAGAGAGCCTCGAAGGATGCGCGCAAGAGCAGAGTGACCCCAGAGCGAAGTGTCAGCCCCTCGGCGTCGGTTGAGAAGACCACCTTGGTCATCAGCAAGCCGAAGACCACCGCCAGGAAGGACAGGCGGAAGGAGGGGAGTGGCCGACCGGTCGGCCAGAGGGACGCCTCCGCGCCCCGGGCTGGGGGGGAGGAGGGACCCATCTCCACGTGTGGGGGGGGTCGCGCGGAGGGGGGGGCGGAAGGAGGGGGAGAGGGAAAAGGAAAGAGAAAGAGAGAGAGAGAGAGAGAGAAGGGGGCAGGAAATAGAGGGAGGGGGAGTGAGGGGCGGAGGAGGAGGGTCGAGTTTGGCAGCCAGTCGGGATGGCCAGCTAAAAAAGGCATTACCCCATGGGCCGTTGTGTGAGTGTCGAGGGGGGAGAGAGAGAGAGAGAGAGAGAGAGGGGGGGGGAGGGGGGGACCTCGGCCCGCGGCCGATGGCTGCCGAGAGATGGCTGGGAGGGTTCAGCATGCACCCCGGTGTCGGGGGCGGGGGGGCCGATCTTCCGGCCGGAAAACAAAAAGAAGATGGCCTGGCCGACTCGCGTGTTGGCTTGACCACAGCGCGGGGACCGGGCGAACGGGCGGCCAGGAAGAAAACAGAACTTTGTGCTGCGCTCCCCCCCCCCCCCCCCCCCCCCCC